AAGATACTAAATTATATTAAATGTAATTATATTAATTGTAAGATACCAAATTATATTAATTATATTAAATAGTGCAAATGTTGACCCAATTATACCATTATTCTTCGATGTTATAATAGCCGCCGAACGGAGAAATAGTTGTGCCGCGAGACGAACGCGAGATTGTTATAAATTGATTCGAATAGCTGCGCTAGTGCAAATAGTTAAGAAAATAGTTTTATATAATATTTTACCTTTCATTTGTAAAATATTATATAAAACTATTTTCTTAACTATTTGCACTAGCGCAGCTATTCGAATCAATTTATAACAATCTCACGTTCGTCTCGCGGCACAACTATTTCTCCGTTCGGCGGCTATTATAACATCGAAGAATAATGGTATAAGGTCAACATTTGCACGACGCTCTATAATCATCGATCATTTGTTCGCCGCGATTGGCACTGTCTAAATAAACAATGTATGCATTTGCATCGCATTGACAGGCCATTCATCGCATTGCCCGTGCATACATGGCGACGCATCCAGTTTCCTAATGAACCTCGAAGATCGCGGGACCTATTGGCAACCGCTATCGATTCAAAAATACTCGACAGAAACGAACCGGGGATTTTTCATATATGTAGAACGCGCGCGCGTGTTCGTCCCCCGATATCGTATACTCTTTGCAACAAATTCATACGTTCGACTATTTATGTGTCTCGTTTCTACGTTTCGCGAGAGACACGAAAAAACTACGCGTTTCGCGTTTCACAAGAAAATAAAGATAATTCGAGACGCGCGATCCACAGCTTTTACAAAATATAATATAAGAATATATCTGTTTATTTATGTACAATATTATTATTATAATATATTATAAATAGAATATTATTATTATTATAATATTATTATTATAATATTGTATATGTACAATATTATTATTATAACATTATATATAGGAAACAACATGAACGTGCATATAAATTCGAAAACGTACGTCGAACACACTTTGCATGAAACAACATAAAATAATTATTTTTAATTTTGGTACACGCGTTAATTCATTTTACCGCGATGATTACAATTTCGCGTATCGCCACGATTGCGCGTTGTTTCGTTTGTCCCCGTAAGCTTTTCATTTTTCCGCAAACGGGGTTCGGCGCGCGTATTAACAATGCAATGGTTAGATTAAAAATGTACGATAATAAATATGTAACGAGACGGCTTGTTAAAGTAAAACGAGGATGCTTCTGACCGCCGTGTGCGCCCGCGCGCGCGCGCGTGTACAAAGTGTATTAATAACGACAAGAGCGTACTATGGACGCACGAGAAACATAAAACACTGAGAATACTTTGTAAGTTATTGTGCGGGCATATAGCCACTTCCGGTCGACTTCTAATTGTGTATCGCGCATTGTCTCCGCGGTGCTGCAATTCCCGAAGAATGTGAACCGTGAGAGAGAGAAAGAGGGGGGAGGCGACGGCGAGAGCGAGCGAGTGGGGGAGAGCGAGAGCGCGCGAGTGAGAGAGAGGGGTGAGCGACGGCGAACAAGCGAGCGAGTGGGGAAGAGCGAGAGCGAGCGAGTGAGGGAGAGCGGCGAGTGGGAGGGAGAGGGGGACACACGGGCGAGCTGGCTTGTTGATACGGTTTCTTGGCACTTGTTCTAATAGTTCCTATAACCGACATCGAAATTTCTAAACGTAGTACCTTTTACTATAACTTACTCCGTCTCGAACGCAAACCAATTCCAACCGACGCGACGACTTCGAGATCCTCCCGGGGTCCACGCAATCACAATTTTCACGAGCACTTCGAAGCGGTTCGTGATACATTTCTTCGTTCTAGACTTTTCGAAATTACGATAACGACATCACCAGGTATCGGATACAATGAGTGTATATACATACTTCTAGCAGTTGTTATAGGAAATTATGACCCATTCTTCGTTTTACGATCGTTGAAATTACGAAAATAATGAAATCGATGCAAGGACGTACTCCCAGCAATTTTTCGAAGACATTAACGCTCGTACTTCCGAGCCAGAAAAGCGTGTATATGGCTTGACGTAACACACACAATGGCAAGATTGAAGAAAAGTGTTATATATATAAATTGATGATCTATTTTTTTTTATTACGTTCAGCTATTAACATGTAAGATTCAGGAAGAGGTATTACATTTTTCATACGTTAAAATGTAACGAACATTTTTCAAGACACGGAAATACGGGGCACGGAAATATGGCGAGGCACGGCAACACGGGGCACGGAATCGTGCGCGGAGCTCCTGGAAGGGCACGGAATTATCGGCAGAGACGCCTCTTTTTACTTCGTTAAAAACATTATTAAATCACTAATTTGCATCGTGCAAGAAAATATATTTGAAATCGAAAATGTCTGAAAAATCGAAATCTATTTTTAGCGCGTCGAATGAAGATTCTGGTATTTAACGAGAGTTTCGGCAAAGCAAAAATTGGCTTCGTGACACGGTAATTGGGAAGTCTACCCTAGTTTCGACGGTGTGAAGACGATGGGTTCGAAGAAAAATTGCTGGATAACGCTCGTTAGCGTTTTAGAGGTCCTAAAAACCGTGAGATCGCGTAGAAAATTCTTGAAGGACTCTAAAAATCTCGACGCAATGGTCTCCCGCAAGATTTTCAAGGACTCTAGAAGCTGCTGGATCCTTCGCGGCGGCTTCGATGCCACTGCAAACGCTAGAAATTCGCAGAAAGAATCGGCAAACTGATAAAAGCTTCGGGAACTTCCGGAGGGATTGCGGAATAATCTGATACCAAGCATTCCAAGATCTCTTGGAAACGTTTTATCCGCCGCCGATCAGAAAATGTCGAACTTCGTCTGAATTTCTGGATCTCTAATGAAAATAAATCGAACTTAATTATTTCATTTCGGGCCAATTATTATATCGTGTACGAGTATTATAAAATTTCTATCGATTAATTACAATCGTACAACTCCTGGCAATCATTTCCTACAAAGATCGTTTCGCAAAGTGGCCTTTTGTTCATCGGACAATGTGAACAAGCTGCGTCGCGAACTAACGCGACTGACATTGCTGTATTTGATCTTCCTAATATTCGCTCGGTGAACTGGCTTGAAATTAATTTCCCGCTGAATTGTTTGATCATTCTGTTCCTAAACACGATCATTGTACAGGATGTCCCAAAAATGTCTCGCAATCCGGAAATGGAGGGTTCCTCGGATCGTTTGAAGCAGCTTCTTCCTTTACAAAAATGTTCTCCGAGGCACCGTTAACGAGTTATTAACGAAAAACGGTGACCAATAAGAATCGAGTACGGCTGACGCGCGGCGGCCCAGCCAACCAGCGCGCGAAGCCCGGTTCCGCTCATTGGCTCGGTCGTCACGCGCCAGCCGAGCTCGCCTCTCATTGGTCACTCTTTTTCGTTGATAACTCGTTAACGGTGCCTCGGAGAAAATTTTTGTAAAGGAAAAAGTTGCTCCAAATGGCCCGAGGAACCTGCCACTTTCGGATTGCGAGACATTTTTGGGACACCCTGTAGTTACCGATCGTCGACAACTGTAACAACATGCCGCGAGGCTCGAATAATCGCATCTGCTCTCCCCAAATTGTCCATTTTCTGTGCACAATCCGAGCGTCAATTAGAGAGAATTTACCGCGTTCGGCGACGGGAAGCGGGAAAACGGTTCCGAATCGCTATCTCGAAATTCCGAACAATTATAGAAATATGTTAATGGTAGTGTTCGTAATTGTTCGCCTCTATAGTTAAAAAGTTTCTCAATGATAACACGTTATTTATACACTCACGCAGCGCGCTTGCCAGGCCGTCGGCTATACACGCGTGTATACATAGCCCGTCACATAAATTCACCGCTTCCGTGGAGATGCATATTTGTGTACATAGATTCGAATACCGGTGATCCATATACACTGCCGCGGACAATAATCGTTCAAATCATAAATGTCGAAACTTGACCATCGGATGACCTGATTTCAGGTAACCGAGCGAAACGTTCGCAGTGCCCGGTGAAAAAAAAAGAAAGAAGAAATATGTACGTGTGCGTCCGAATTTAGAACCATCCGCGAGAGATCGTTCACCTGAAAATCGATCGGTGATCTTAACGTTCACGTTAAGAATCGAAAGATTACTCATTTCCAAGAATTTCTTCTTGGCGATCCTACAGATTATAATTTTCTGCGATTACTCGTCCGCGATTATAATCTCTGCGCACGTTAATTTTGCAATGTCAATGGACACTTTGAAACTATTTATTCTTTTTTTTACATTATTTTTTTACGCTTAAGAATAGCGAAATGTAATAATAATGAAAGTAGTGAAAAATAATAATGGAATAATAGTGAAAGTAAGTAATAGCGAAAATGATATTTTTATAGCAGAATGGAATGTTAAGAATTTAAATTGAGTCAATTTTTGTAATTGTAAGCTTGAAAGGTTTCAATATTTGACGTTTAACTAAACTCTGTCGATTTTGCGATTCTTTTTACAAAAATCGAATTTAACAATTGGATGCTGTGTCGATAAATCTGTCTTGACAATTGAAATTGTTGCAGCACTATTGTTGCTCAGCTACCTGTTCGCGCTACATTATGTGAACTAACTCTTGTGTATGGTATTGAGAGCACGATCAGAATATGTTAATAATGTGTAACAAAGTACGAGCCAACGTACTAATTATTGATGTATATTTGTTGTATACAAATGTGTGCTCACAATACAGCGTTTCTACTCATTGGTAGAATTTCTCTCTCTCTTCTCTCTCTTTCTCCCTTTTTTTCTTTCTCTCTCTCTCTCTCTCTCTCTTTTCTCTCTCGCTCTCTCTTCTCTCTCTCTTCACTCTCTCGGACTTCTCTCTCTCTCTTTTCACTCACACTCCTCTCTCTCTCTCTTCTCTCTCTCTCTCTTCTCTTCTCTCTCTCTCTTTTCCTCTCTCGGACTTCTCTCTCTCTTTTCACTCACATTCTTCTCTCTCTTTTCTCTCTTTTCCTCTCTCTCTTCACTCTCTCCGACTTCTCTCTCTCTCTCTTTTCACTCACACTCTTCTCTCTCCCTTTTCACTCTCTCTCTCTCTCTCTCTCTCTTTGTGTCTCTCTCTTCTCTCTCTTTTCTCTCTTTTCCTCTCTCTCTATCTCTCTTTCTCTCTCCTCTATGTGTGTAACTCGCATCAAATTTTAACTATCTTCGTATAAGTCAGACAAAGTATATGCGATCTTCACGCGAGATTAAAGTTTCCTCTGCATCAATCGCAAGAGATAGGAACCACGCGAAGGGCTTTCCATCCTTTCTGTGATCATTTAAACCGACTGAAATTAGCGCGTCGATGTCTTTTGATTCTCAATCGTTTCAAATGTTTCTTCACCGTCTTAACACCAGATTGACGAAGCACAAAAAACAGCTGTTTTATATCAGTTTATAAAAGTAACAATAAGACAATTATTTATTCTGATTTTGAACAAGCGTTATTGCAACATTTGCCGTATGTAATATATAAATCGAATAAATAACTCGTAAAGGTGTCTTTACGATTCGAATAATTATAAATTAAACAATTAGTGACCCGCCATTGTGACGGGTTCCGTAAATCTATTGTAAAATCGCAGCAACTCACTTTTCATATCTGTTTCAGTATTGTAAATCGCGCCTACTTTTCTCATAAACGCATAAAATTCGTGGCCCAGCGACGACGATAACAAGCGACAACGTCAGCGATCGACGACTGCCAGAAATCGATCCGACGGGGATCCGTCGAACATTGAATTTCGACGCGTCAGAAACGAGAACGTCGACTGATAATATAATATTATTATAATATTATTATATTATATTATATTAAATTATATTATATTATATTATATTATATTATATCTGTCTCTTATACACATCTAGATGTGTATAAGAGACAGATATAATATAATATAATATAATATAATATAATATCTGTCTCTTATACACATCTAGATGTGTATAAGAGACAGATATAATATAATATAATATAATATAATATAATATCTGTCTCTTATACACATCTAGATGTGTATAAGAGACAGATATAATATAATATAATATAATATAATATAATATCTGTCTCTTATACACATCTAGATGTGTATAAGAGACAGATATTATATTATATTATATTATATTATATTATATCATATCATATTATATTATTATTATTAGACTGGTGCGTATGAAATGTCGAATTTTAAGTGAATATATAAAACCGCATATCTTTTTTCAAAGATTGTTCATTTAATCAAAATACGAATCAAAGAAATTCCGATCTTTCGAATCGACGAACTCCGACATGGAATTTTTCGGACCGTCTTCATTTTCGTGCCGTTTAGCCCGTAAAAACTGTTCTAAATGTTTGACAAAATATGAAAGTCGGTCGGCGAAAGATCCGGCGAACGAGCCGGGCGCTGCGAAATTTCATACTTTAATTCGTTCAATTACGCAATCGTTTTGTACGACGTACGCGGCCGAGCGTCGCCGCGGAGAAGTTATCGGGCCGTGCCGATTAACGAGCGACGGGCGTATAATTTGCAATTTTTCACGCGTCTCGTCGATGCATCGGCAGCACTTTTCGGCTGCGATCGTCTCCCCGGTTCGAAGGAACGAGCGGCGAATCACTCCGGTCGCGTTCGTTTCCACCGACGCTTTCGGAGCATCGTTTGTCGCAGACGGTTCCGGGCCTTCCGCGCGGTTCATTTTCTAGGGAAAAATCGGCGGATCGAACATTTTCAAAGCGACGCCGCACTTTTCGATCGTTAACAGTGTTCTCCCCGAACGCCTGGTTTGTATCGCGCGCAGCTTTCGCAGCGTTGTTACCAAGTTTATACTCGCATAAAAAAATTACACGAACATCGGTCGAATTCGTGTCCTCGCGAAATTCGAAACGACTAACAAAATGGAACGCTTTCGGGGAAATCTTCTTCGTTGAAACGCGACTATGGCGATGAACGGTGCGACTATAAACGAGGTTATGCAAAAAACAAAAGCACAACGAAAACAGGGAGACGAACGTTCCCATGTAAATACAACATTTCGTATGCCCTAACCTAACAATCGCTCGTTGATCCAAGTATGTATGCACGTACCTTGAAGATGTCCGTGAGGAAGGAGAACACCTCGACCGGCAGTAACAAACCCCGGTCGGTCCACGCGGTCCTCCGGAAGCGGCGAGCGTGTACGCGTCAGCAGATAGTTCCGGTCCGCTTCTCCCGCAGTATCCAGCCGGTCGGCGCCGGCCGGTTTATCGATCGAAAAATCGTGGATAAACGGCGAGTGATTCCGGGTCGCGGGATCGCGCGTGCCGGGCGTCGAGTGCCACGCGTCGAGCGAGTCGAACGCGAGTCGCCGCCGTCCGTTCGTTCGTTTCCCGTGTGCGAGCTTGTCCAGCGGTCAACTTCCGGTTCCAACTTCACGGCTGCGTGCCGGTGTCATCGATCGACCATAAATCCTCGCTCGATCGCCGGTGAATTAAGCGACGCGGAGAGGCGCGCGGCAACGTCGAAACGGCGAGCGATGTCGGCGGCTTCGGCAGCGGCAGCGGCGTGTCTATCGGCCGGATACACGAAAACGGGCGAAAAGCGCGTGGAATTATGCTACCGGCGAGGCGGGAGGAGGGTGTGTGCGGACAACGGCGAGCCCGGCAGAAGGACCATGGAGAGAGCGTAAACACACCTGATCGTGTCCGAGAACGACGGGTTCCCACCTCCGTACGACACCACGTTTCCTTTATTTTGCAACACACACACGCGCGCGCGCTCTCTCACACACTCTCATACACCACCAAATCACGACGCGACGATCGCGGAGATCACGGAGATCACGATGACGACGACGACGACGACGACGACGAGGAGAAGGAGGAGGATGATGATGATGATCGCGAGCGGCGACGACGACGGGAACGGCGACGACGACGACGACGGTGGCGGCACGGCCGATCACGAGCCTCCACCACCACCACCACCACCACCACTACCACCACCACCCATCACCCACCACCACCACGACGACGGCGACGGCGACGGCGACGGCGACGGCGACGTTGACGAGCGCGAGGTCGCTGAGAGACTGGACGACGCGCGACGGACCCCGAGTCACCGTCGACGATGAGTCGAGTCGCTCTGACGAGGATCCTAGCTCCGTCGGGCTAACCGTGAGGGGGTGGCGGCGCCGGGCACCGCCTGGTGGGGGGGCCCGCCGGCGGAGGGAGAAGGAGGCCCGAGAGAGAGAGGAACGTTAGGCGGCGGCACGTCGTCGGCGCGACGGGAGAGGGAAACGCGGATCCGGGAGGGGTACGGACGACGGCGTCGGCGTCAACGTCGGCGTCGCTTCTTCGCCGAGGGCGTGGTCCTGATCGCCGACACTCTCTCGCGGATCTCGAGATAGAGACCACAGCCTGATACCGCCGCTCTGACGCTGCTGCACCGGGGACGCTCGATTCACCGAGATCTAGCCCCGATTCCTCCGCTTACGGAGGAATCTCAGGACGACGTTTCTCCTCGACGTTTAGGACGTCGTCGCGAGACGTCCGCGCTTATGGTCGCGCGGCACCTTTTTACCGCGGGCCTTGCCCCGCTCGGAGCGGTCGAAACAACGACGACAGGGCGGACCGCGGAGCTACGAGCCGATTGAAACGGTCAGATGTTTCGTGGGTTTTGTCGCGCCTCGGCTGGCCGCCCAGCGAGCAGCTCTCCGCCGTCGGAATAATCGGCCGGTGTGTCGTTGCGAGCCACCGTGTACGCTGGCGAGCTCGATCACAGAAATCAACAGTCGCTTTGGGCGGTTCGTGCGTCTCGTTCCGAGTTATTCTTAACGTGCGCGACGCGTTCGGTAAGCTGTTTCGCGTGAGGACGCTGTGGGAAAGCATGTAAATGGTCGCGGATGTGCTGGGCAGGTGTCTTTCTTGCGACGGGCACGGGAATCTTTGTGGAATCGGTTCGATCGCGGCTATAAGTATAGTCAATTCTCTGGAATTGTTCCTTCGGCTTGTATAAAAGGAAATGGACGATTTGGGGGGAGATAAGATCATTCGAGTCTCGCGGCGCGTTTTACTATTGGGTTGGCAAGAAAGTAATTTCGGTTCGTACTAATAGATAGCGTTATGCTTGCATTGTCATTATTTCGTTAAGGTTATAATTTCTTTTGTCTTCAGCTTTGGTAGTTGAATTACATGTAGCTTTGCTTACGATTGATAGTTTGTCGTCAATTTTAACGCGGAGTGCAAAAATGAACATTTACAACGTATTTTACTCTTTTTTATTTTTATAAAAGCAAGAATTCATTTATGGCTATTGGGTTGGCAGCGAAGTAATTATGCTTGCATTGTCATTATTTCGTTACGATTAGAATTTTCTTTTTGTCTTCGGCTTTGATAGTTGACACGTTTAGGTTACTATGGAAATAAATTACATGTAATTGTTGCTTACGATTTATAGTTTGTCGTCAATTTTAACACGGAGTGCAAAAATGAACATTTACAACGTATTTTACTTTTTTTTATTTTCATAAAAGCAAGAATTCATTTATGGCTATTGGGTTGGCAGCGAAGTAATTATGCTTGCATTGTCATTATTTCGTTACGATTAGAATTTTCTTTTTGTCTTCGGCTTTGATAGTTGACACGTTTAGGTTACTATGGAAATAAATTACATGTAGTTTTGCTTACAATTGATAGTTCGCTGTCAATTTTAACGTGAAGTACAAAAATGAACATTTTCGACACATTTTATCATTAATTTGGCAAGAAAGTAATTTCGGTTTGCACCAGTAGATAGCGTTATGTTTGTATTGTCATTCTTTTGTTAGGGTTATAATTTCTTTTATCTTCAGCTTTGGCAGTTGACACTTTTAGTTTACTACAGAAACAAATTCCGCATAGTTGTGTTTAAAACTGATAGTTTCACGTCAACTTTAACGCTAAAAAATGAACATTTTCGACACATTTTACTTTTTTCATAAATTTCCCTTTCCATCGTATTCCTATTGTCTTACAAATGAAAAAAAAAATATTTAAGAAGAATGTCGGTCGAACCGCGACGAAAAACTATGAAACTTTTAGCTTTGGGGTTAGGTCTAGATCAAGGTCCGAGCCCGTATTTCACGACGTGGTCGCGAAGATGAAGATCTGTCGTTCGTTTAAAAAAGAAAACGACTCGCCGGTCCTGTAGTATATTCGACATATTTTTCGAGAAAGTCGCCAAATTTCGGGAGGGATTCTTGCGAACCGGCTGACGTTGGGGAACTATTTTAATTTTGTCAAGGTCAACGCTGTCCGCGACCGACAGTTCTTTTTATTCCTTCCGTTGTTGTATACGCGTCGACGGAAAATTATTTTCAAAAATGTTACGCTAAAATCCGAGGGAAGATCTTCTTTCTACTGTAGTCTTTCTAGTATCTGTCGACGAACGTTGAACAACGGTGCCTTTATTTTCGTTAGAGGAATCGCAGCGATTATGGTCTTTCGGATGGTATAGAGAGACCCATCGAATCATAAATTATATACACAGGGTGTCCCAAAAATGTCTCGCAATCCGGGAATGGCGGGTTCCTCGGATCCTGTCTCTTATACACATCTAGATGTGTATAAGAGACAGATATTATATATAATATAGCATAGTAGCTGTCTCTTATACACATCTAGATGTGTATAAGAGACAGATATTATATATAATATAGCATAGTAGCTGTCTCTTATACACATCTAGATGTGTATAAGAGACAGATATTATATATAATATAGCATAGTAGCTGTCTCTTATACACATCTAGATGTGTATAAGAGACAGATATTATATATAATATAGCATAGTAGCTGTCTCTTATACACATCTAGATGTGTATAAGAGACAGATATTATATATAATATAGCATAGTAGCTGTCTCTTATACACATCTAGATGTGTATAAGAGACAGATATTATATATAATATAGCATAGTAGCTGTCTCTTATACACATCTAGATGTGTATAAGAGACAGATATTATATATAATATAGCATAGTAGCTGTCTCTTATACACATCTAGATGTGTATAAGAGACAGATATTATATATAATATAGCATAGTAGCTGTCTCTTATACACATCTAGATGTGTATAAGAGACAGATATTATATATAATATAGCATAGTAGCTGTCTCTTATACACATCTAGATGTGTATAAGAGACAGATATTATATATAATATAGCATAGTAGCTGTCTCTTATACACATCTAGATGTGTATAAGAGACAGATATTATATATAATATAGCATAGTAGCTGTCTCTTATACACATCTAGATGTGTATAAGAGACAGGATCCGAGGAACCCGCCATTCCCGGATTGCGAGACATTTTTGGGACACCCTGTACACGTGCGGGGATGATTTCGGTACACGAAGAACTAATTTTGTAACCATATCGTGGATATAGTCGGAATTTGCTATCGGCTAGCCGTGTAGATTATAGGTCAACGAACCGATACGGCAGATAATATTGACATAAATTGTAGATCCTGGGTCCGTTGTAATTGCAGTGCTTCATCGGTGTACCTCGCCTCATCGCGCATATGCTTCCGGCACAGGTACCTGCGATTCCTAGAAACAATCGTGATACAATAAATTCTCCCTAATTGACGCTCGGATCGTGCACAAAAATGGACAATTTGGGGAGAGGAGACACGATTATTCGAGCCGATGGTCAACAATTCTAAAAACGAGGCGAAGCTAAAAGAAAATTAGAGAGAATTTACTGTACATAATTTCTCTCAACTAATTATCTAACTATATTCTTAACTAGGTCTTTGACATTCATTTTTATTGTAATATATTGAACAAATTGAATACTACTAGGATTTTTCTAGGTAAAAATTTCCTATGGTAAATTTTCACTTTCTAGTTTCGGTTTCATTAATTAAACGATTTCAATATTGTGCGAATTTGTCGAGTCAATATTCCGCAATTAACGTCTCAACGCCGATAACATTAAACTGCTGTCGCGTTCGCAATCGCGAGACGCACACAGGATAAGAGTGTCAATAATTCTTCGACAATGTTGAACCCCCGTTAAACGAGACAGCATTCCCTTCGATGCAAAAGCAGGTATTTTCCAAGCTTCGTTCCCGTGTCACTTCAGCGGGTTGTTTTCTTACGGAATCTTTTATTTATCCTGGCTTGCTTTCTCTCGAGATGTTCTCTAATATCTTTTAATACGGGCCGAGGCATTTTGCGAAGCGTCTCTTTATACTTTGCGCTACCACCAGCGAAAACACCGCGCTGCGGGAGTTGGCCCAATTTTCTAATAGCGTTAGGCGCGGAACTGGGTTGCAAGAATATCCAAAGGAGTCGCCCTTTTATTGTATCTTCGCCGGCTGTTTCGCGCTCTATATCGATTATAATAAATCATTGGGTTGGCAAGAAAGTAATTTCGGTTTGTAACAATAGATAGGGTTATGTTCGCATTGTCGCACTTTTGTTAAGGTTATAATTTTGTTGTCTTCGGCTTTGATAGTTGACACGTTTAGCTTATTATAGAAACAAATTCCACGCGTAGTTTTGTTTACAACTGTAATGTCTCTCTAATTGACGCTCGGATTGTCCACAGAAATGGACAATTTTGGAAGAGGAGATGCGATATTATTCGAGGCTTGCGGTTTATTTTTATAATCATAAATTGTCCATCATTATAAAAATGAGCCGCAAGGCTCGAATAATCGTATCCGACAATCTGAGCGTCAGTAAGGGAGACATCACTGTACAGTAATGTCCCTCTAATTGACGCTCGGTTTGTCAAATGGACAATTTGGGGAGAGGAGATACGATTATAATTGTGGAC